CATGGGCTCTCTCATACCTTCTGCTGGTCCCTGACTGCAGAGCTGGCATTTCCATGGAGCATCCAGCACCTCTCGTGCATATATGTGATATTTGCAAGAAGGTTTTTGTGCACTCTTTCACTGATTTACTTTGAAGGACACAGCTGATTGGGGTGCAGCTCCTGAGACAGAGCTGAGCAGCTTCAGTGAGCCATCCACCTTCCCTAAACATGCTGCCAGCTTGGAAACATTCTGTAGGAAATCCTGCTCTGTGGCTGTGGTAACTGCTGAGAGTTTTGGCCCTAGGGAATCTGGTCCAGTGATGGAAAGAGATCTCCCTGTGGAGCTGGGAAAAGCCAAAGTCCACAAGGAAACAGGTTCTGGATGCTCCTGGTGCTGCACAAACGCCTTGATCAGGCAGAATGCTCCAGAATAAAGGTTAGAAAAAGGAAAATAAAGTAACACCTTTAAAGTTTGGCATGAATGGAAAGCATTCTTCGCTGCAGCCAGTGCTCTCAGCAGCGTGTGAACCACGGAAACAATGTAAAACCTTTACAAGAAATAACGCTCAATTTGCCCAACACCAAAAATAATGTGATATCAGGGACTATGAAATATTCATGAGGTCTGATCTAACATGCACATTTGATGGTGTGTGCAGCATCACACGCTTTAACCCAGCCTTTGCAGTCCGGTAATCCCCACGCACGGCACAGACACGGGGTCGTGTCAGCTCAGACTGGAACTGAGGAACTTCTGCGGGCAGAGCTTCCTCCAAGGACACCGGAGAACACCTGAGGAAGTGCAGCTGGCCACGTCCCTGCTGCTGGGCACACCTACTCACAGCAAATCACAAGTGGGAGCAAAGCTGAACGCCCATAAATCAGCCTGGCACAGCGCAGTGGTGGCTCCCATCAGAGACTTTAACGAGCTCCTTCTCCATGTGTTTCCTACACAGGCACACACATGATGCTGCTGCTCAGAGCCCACATTGTACTCGCTGCTGGAAGCCTGCAGAAAACCTTTGGAGCTGCCCATTTCAGGAAGGTACATTGGCCTTGGTCCCCCTGAGCAGCAATATTAAACTTAGCGAGGGCAGACACTGTCATCAATGGACATTTAGCATTTTAAAACAACCTCAGCTTGCTCCTGCCCCTGCTGGGGCTGATCTGCTGCAGAGGAAAGGAGGACAGCAGGCACTGGCAGCAGGCAGAGCCCCTGTGAGTGCTTTTCCCCAGCCCATGGCAAGGGCAAGCACCAGCTCCGAGTCACCAGCCAGGATGGGCTCATTTCAAACAGCCCAGCTGTAAGAAAAACACAAGGCAGCTAAGGAGAGGTCATTCCAGAGTTGTGGAGTTCTGCCCTCCGGCAGGACCCAAATCTGCTCCCAGTACCTGTGAGGTGACAACTCTGAGCTGTCCTGGGGCTGATCCAGCTCCAAACAACCAGCAGTAGAGTTAGCATAAAATTAAAATATATGCAAACAACATTAGCACAGAATTACAAGATTTGTTTAACCCGATGGTATTGAAATCTCTCCTTCTAGGGGAGAGAGTGAGCAGGAGTGGGCAAAATTGGGAACAAGACTCTGGTGTTAATACTGATGCTCCGAATTTTCATGTGATAAGATTATAGTGTTTCAGCTGCTGCCTTAGCTCATTAGGGGCCAGTTGCACCACAGCACTGTGCTGGGATCAGGCACAGCTCTGGCTGGGCAGCCCTCAGAAGAGACCAGATTCAGTGGAAAGCATAAGATGAACATGGCATTACTAATTACAAGTGACTGTGCCTCGCCAGGCAAACTGCTGTGCTGTAGTCACTTGTGCAGTTGTTATACAGCAAGCATTCCCTGCTCTTGCAAGTGGCAGCAATAATACTGTAAGACAAGAAAGCTGGAAGAAATTGGATACTGGAATACTACAACCTTGTCCTAAGCATGCATGAAAGCTGATAGGCAACTGTCCACCTTTTTACAAGGAAAAGGGAAAAAGTGATACCCTGCTGAATATTGTCTGCCTAACAGAAAACTGCAATGCCCTAAAATTACCAATAACCAGCATATAAAATGACAGCATGTGGGAAGCACAGCTGCCCTCCCCTGTCCCTGGAGCTCACAGAGAGGCTCTCTGCCCGGGCAAGGGTGGCACAGCACAGCTCACACCCTTCTGTGAGCCTGGGAAGGGCTGAGCCCACACCAGGGCTGCACTCGCCTGGTACCAACTTCCCCAGCTGGCCAAAGACCCCTTGGTCACCTCCTCAGCAGTCTGAGAGGTAAACCCTGGGTCAGCAGCCCCTCTGGACGGCGGGCAAGGCAAGCAGATCACCCCAGCCCCTGGTGATGGATGGCACCTGCCCCAGGCACAGCCTGGTGCCACCACGGGACTCAGCAGAGCCTGAATGTCTGAAGGGCATCTGCTGGAGCCAGGCACTGCTCAGCAGCAGAGTGCTGCTGGGTTAGAGCAAGGATTTCCCATCAGCCAGACCTAAACCCCTCTCTAAACTCCACTGGCAGTGCCTCTGTTCCTTATCTACACTTCCTACTTTGTATGTTTACTATTTAGTTTGTTAAATAAGTACTTGGACACCTGCTTTTCTTTAGTGTACCAACACCACAGTCCTACTTTTCTTGCTTTACTACTGATGTAGTAGTATGAGGTCATGTTTCACCTTAGTGAGAAACAACCACCAAAAAAAAAAAAGTCTTCCTCCAGTAATTGCCATTTAATCCCTGACCAGGAAAACTAACAAGTTATTCTAAGATAGGCAAACCTTTGGGGCATCTGATTTTTAGAACAGCTGAGCACTGCGGCACTGCAGAAAGGAGATCTACAAAGAGTATTTTATTTTTATTTTTGCTGCTCAACAGCACGAGAGAGCTAATGCAGCAGGGCTGCCAGTGCCTTATACAATGTGACACACCGAACAACCCAAGGGTGCTCATCCTCCCCAGCACTCACTGCACATCTCATCCCTTAGCAGAACACAATGTGAAAACTGACCCTGCCCTTCTGAGTATCAATACAAATCCTGCTTGCCATCCAGGTTAGTTCAGAATGAAGAGGTTACTGAAATGTCTCCTGCTATAGAAAATCAGCACAATTAAACATTCAACGCAAACGAGTTTGTTTTCTTTAAGAAACAAGCAAATAAAAGAAAAGAAAACCCTATTTTGTTCAGTTTTGTTTCTTCTTCCCTTAAAGCCTGGCTGCCACACAGAAATTCTTAAGCAAAGGCTGCAATTACAGCATGACAAAACACTAAAAACAATGGTGCATGTGTGGGGAACACACAAGGTAACAGCTAAGGACAGATTCTCAGAAATGGAAATTAATTTAAATGCTGTCATGATAGATTGACTCAAACCCTTAAATCATCCTCCTCCTTTACTTTTTTACTGGAGTGTATCATCTAAACTACTACATCTGCACAGCTACTTAGAAATTAGTAAAGATTCAATAAAAACAGCAAAACTTTTTGAATTCAGGATCTCTACCACAGCCCTACCATTCTCTGCTCTTGTATAAAAACCAATCTTATTACAAAAAAGGAAGCTAAGCCTGTAGCAAAAGCTGACAGAACACACACTGCACACTAAGCCCTTTAAGTGAGATTTTGTATTATGCTCTGCATGCCAAGGGAAGTTATGAATACCCTAACCCACAGCATGCACTAACTGGTTTGTATCACAAAGTGAACCATTTCTTTACAGGGTATTTGATGAAATAACTGCTCAAAGTGACTTTATTTTAAAATCTCAAAAATCAGTTTACTAGAATTTTGAATGAGAACTTGATAGTCTTGTATTAGCTGATGTAGAATAGCTACATTATAAGAAACATTGAAAATGCACTAAATTATAACATTATCAATGGCAAATGTGACATTGCTTAGACAAATAATAGACACCCCCACCAAAGGCACAAAATGCAACAAAATCAAACTGCAACGAAGACAAGAATTTTCAAGTATAAATTTTCAAGAGTAAGTTACATTTGGTATGTTAGAAATTTTTATATATATTAAAAAGAATTATACATAAACTGCAATGCACAATGCAGCGCTTCCACTAGAAAAACCCCTTTAAAGCTTCTGTTTTCACAGCACGTAATTTGTACTGAATAAAGTGGGGAAACCATCCAGTGCCAGATGTCTGAGAACATCAGTAAATTCTCAGCCAACTAACAAGAAAGAATTTGGTCCTTTGCTACCAGATTTCGATCAAGTATTTAATCAGTGCAAGAGCTCTGTATGGGAACATATTTCAAAAGTTCTCCCAACACACAAAACACCGCAGGAATCCAAGGACCTGCAAAGGCAAACAATCCTCACATGCGACTTTTCTCGGTGCTGCAAGAGAAGGTTTAAAGCAGAGATGCAGGATCATTCTTCCAAGAACTGATAACGCAGAAACTGTATTTTCAGCCTTTCTCGGCATAACCACCAAATATTCGGGAAGGAAACCACGACAAGGAAAGCTGGTGACCTCAGAAAAAGTGAGAGCGTGGTTTGAGCAGAAGGAATCTACTCGGCAGCACCAGCGTGCGTGGATTACCCCTGCGACAGGCGGGAGGAAAGTTCCGTGCGGGCTGTTTTCCGTTCACACGCTCGGATCAGGAAAACCCTGCGGGAAGGTGCGGGGAACACGGCAGCGCACAAAGCGCACCCGCGCAGGGAAGCGGCTCGCCCGAAGCGCGACAGCGGGCGGGCAAACCCCGCCGGGCACCGCGGCTGCGAACCGCAGGGCACCGCCGACACCGGGAACGGGGCTCCCCGGCGGCCACCGGCACCGGGACCTCGGCCAAGGCAGCGCCGCCGCCACCGGCCCCGACGGCCGCGCTCCCCCGGCCGCAGCGCTGAGCCTGCAAAGACGACACGAGACCGGTTCCTGGGTAAATGGTTTATGTAAGTAATAAAATATTTACTATAACATAAATAGAAACGTACCCTCGCAGTCTACATTGGTTTTGCAATAAGAGATACAAACAAAAACCGAACCCCCAGGGAATGGACCGGACCGAACCCACCAACGGGAGGGTGCGAGCTCCGCGCACGGTTAGAAATAAATAGAGACGGGCCGGGAAATGGTTTCGAAGCGTCCCCCCGGGCGGGCCGGGCCGGGCAGAGCAGGAGGGGCCGAGCCGGGGGCGCCGCCGCCTCCCGGCAGCGCGAGGAAGGGAATAAATTAGAGATCGCAAACCTTTGGCTACTGCTGCGGCGGCCGCTGCGGCTCCGGCGGGCGAATAAATAGAGCGCGGGGCGCGGAGCGGGCGGCCGGGCCAGTCTGAGAATAAATTAAAACGCGTCCCCCGCTGCCCGCGCCGCCGTCGGGGCCGCGGGGACCGGGCAGTCACTGCACGGCGCCGGGCAGCGCGTGGTGCAGCGGCGAAGTGTCCGCCTGTGCGTAAACGTCCTCCATGGGGGGATGCGGGACCCCGGCCGGCGTCATCCGCTTCTCCTTCTGCCGCCGGTTGCAGAACCAGACCCGCACCACCTCTTTCTCCAGCTGCAGGGAGTCCGCCAGGGAGGTGATCTCGTGCGCCGAGGGCTTGGGGCACTTGAGGAAGTGGTTCTCCAGGGCGCCCTTGACGCCCACCTCGATGGACGTGCGCTTCTTGCGCTTCCGGCCCTGCGCCGCAATCTTGTCCAGGTTGGTGGGGCTGCCCGTGCTGGAGTCCGTCTCCTCCAGCCACTTGTTGAGCAGCGGCTTCAGCTTGCACATGTTCTTGAAGCTCAGCTGCAGCGCCTCGAACCGGCAGATGGTGGTCTGCGAGAAGACGTTCCCGTACAGGGTGCCCAGCGCCAGCCCCACATCGGCCTGCGTGAAGCCCAGCTTGATCCGCCGCTGCTTGAACTGCTTGGCGAACTGCTCCAGGTCGTCGGAGCTGGGCGCGTCCTCGTCCGACGGCTCGGGCGGCCCCAGCGGCGGCGGCGATGCCGCCAGCTCGTGGCCGCCCGCCTCCTCGGCGCCCAGCGGGTCGCGCAGCCCGTGGTGCAGCGCCGGCGCCGGCGGGCCCAGCATCCCGTTGAGGCCCGCGTAGGGCTGCGCGTAGAGCAGCGGCTGCCCCGACGGCGGGGACATGGGCGGCAGGTGGTGCGCGCCGCCCTGCGCCCAGCCGCCCGCCGCGCCGCCCGCCGCCGGCTGGTGCACCAGGTGCGGGCGGTGGTGGAAGGCGGCGGCGGACAGCTCTTCGCGGGGTCCCGGCGGGCCGCCCTTGGCGTGCTCGGCGGGCGGAAGGTGCGCGCCCCCGCCGCCCCCACCGCTGCCCCAGTCCGTGCCGGCGCTGGGTAGCCACTGGTGGTGCGCCAGCCCGACGGCGTGCCCGGCGGCGGGGGCCAGTCCCTGCAGGTACTCGTGGTGCATCATCTTCTGCACCTCGCGGTACGTGGTGCCCTGGTGCAGCCGGTCGCCGTCGGGGTGCATGAGCGCGGCGGAGCGCGGCAGGTACTGCGCGGCGGCGGCCATCGCGTGTGCGCCGCGCCGCCCGCGCCGCGCTTTAGAGCCGCGCGCCGGGGTCCCTGCCCTCTCCTCTGCCCTCACCCCCTGCCCGCACCCCCTGCCCGTACCTCCTGCCCTCTCCTCTGCTCTCACCCTCTACCCGCACCCCTGCCGCTGAATTTTGGCTGCTGCGAGGCCGGTGGGGAGCGCTGGCTCCCGCAGCTGGTGTGCGGGGGTGGCCACTGGGGCTCAGCCACAGGGCTGCGTCGCAGTCGAGACCAAGCTGGGACGTTAAAAGTCGCGATTGAGCTTTTTTGGTAAACTTGGACCCCGGAAAGGTGGGAGCTCCTTCCTAAACGCTGCGTGGCATAGGGCAGCAAGGGCCGAGAAATGAGGATCTGAGATTGTTTGGGCGTCATGGGAAATGTGGGTCTTGGATGCTGCCTCAGAGGCAAGTCTCTGAGCCGGTTTGAGGGTTGGCACAGGATAAAGGGTGGAGGAATTTGTGGGAAAAGACAATGACAACAAGAAACAGACATGTCTGGCAGTGCTGGGAGAGGGGCAAGGGATCTCTTAATTAAGCCAGCTCCAGACTTCATCCGGGGCTTGAGGCCCAAAGTGCATCAGGGTGGGCACCAGGAGCATTCATCACTTCTAAAAATTAATCTTTGTCCCTGTGCTCCATCTGTAGGACGGGAGCAGAGACAGTGACCTTTGCCAAGGGCTCTGGTGCACAATGAACCGTGGGATCAATATGTGTACGAGTGTGACATGTCAAGATGCCCTGCACTCTCCTCAGCTGGGCAGGGTGGCTTGCTGCTGCTAAGGACATTAACTGCAGCCTCCTGAAAGGCTTTTTGTGAGCTGTGCCACATCCCTTCCTGTGCCTTGGGGCACTTTGTCACTTCGGGGTACCGAAGCACTGGTTTGGACCGGGATCCTCCAGCCCTGCATGCTGGGACTGAAGAACCAGTTTTGGCTGGTTTGGGGGGACCAAGCTGCAACACCCCACAGTGGCACACGTGCAGCACAGTGCCCAGCACAGTGCCCTTGGCAGTGGTGGCCCTGTGGGTTGTGACAGTGCCACAGGGTGAAGGTGCTGCCACAACCTCCCTGTGATGACTGATTTGACCCACACTGACCCTGGTTCACCCTGGATCTGCAGCCTGGCATCACACAGGGCTGGAGAGCTCTGTCTCCTGCTCCAGGCTTGCAGTGGGTGGGTGGCAGCAGCCAGCCCCACAGGAGCTGCTGCTGGTCCATGGAGAGCCCAGCATCCCGTCAGGGGCCTGGGCAGCTGCTGGGCCTTGCTTGGCTCAATCATGAAAGAGCAGCTAGGAGAGTGGCACGCCTTGCTGCTGGCAGTCTCAGCTGTCCACTGGCTTTGGGGACAAGTCTGGGACTGAGCACATGCTGTGGAATTATGTGCAATTAGTTCCTTTCACTGAACCCAGGTATATAAATATTCTCTTTTCAGGTATGCAGCACTAGAGAAAGGTTGGACTTTGTGGGAGAGATGGGTTCCAATAGATCATGGAGCATGTTTCATTAGGAGAATAATTTATCTTTCTTATTTTCCTGAGGAATCCTTTGCCCACACTGCATACGTTTGTAATGAATAGAAGCCTTTCAAATGGTTCAGTGACGTGCTGTAAAATATCATACTTGGTTAAGCATTTTCTCTATATTTTTTCTGACCTAGACTCATATTCATGTCAACTCTCCATGATGCAGTGCCATAATATGAAAATTTTTGGTAGCCAATTGCTTTTGATATTTATATCCATTTTTAAGGGAATCACAATGAATAAATGTGCCCAGTTCTAACTTTATGCAAAATAAGCTGTGTATAAATCAGTAAATCATTAATAGAATTAATCATTTCCAAAGGCTGAAGACTGGATTGCATTTCAAAATTTCATCTGTTCTATATGTTTCAGAAATTACCAAAGGAGAGGACACATCATGTGTGGTAAACTGAGGTGCCCATCACAGACTGTTTACACAGTAGTGCTGGTTTATGTTTGATCAAATGATCTTTGTAAACTGAGGCATTGTGCACTGATTGTGCTTTGGGCTTGTTCTGCTTAACAGAAATACAGTTCAAAAACTGGGAACAGCAAACAGCAGAGGAAGATGCAAAATTCCCATTTAACTCCTCCCTCAGTGATTCCCAGCTCCAGAAGTCAGAGCCAGTGGCAAAGTTCTCTCTTTTATTAAACAACATGAAGGAGATAAGAGCGAAGGAGAGGGTGCTGGCCCTAAGTGAGGAGGACAGGAAGGATTAAGATGTCTGTATAAGCACTAACTTCGAGAGCCAGACCCTCATGTTTGTGTTCCTGGTATCCCTGTCTCCACTGAGGTCTGGGACTGAGGAGTTGCACAGTTTGAAAGACCCTACCACAATTTCATTATGTTGAAAGTGTCTTCCTATTTTTTAAAATAGTTTTTATTATATTTATTCCTATTTTTACATAGCTTTTCAGAGCCATACCATCCAGCAAATCCCTGTAGGAGGGCATCCAGGTTTCCTAGCAAAAGCCAGTTCCTTCATTAAGCCTTGCCAGGGATATTGGCATGCAGTCCATTCCCTCTTCAAGGAATAAACAACCCCATGGGCGATGTTCGATATGATTCATTCTCTGTGTGACTGTGACAGCATCACAACCTGCCTAATGCAGCTGGATCTGAGGCTGGTGGGAGGACTGAAATGGTAATAATGAGGAGGCTCAGCACGGAGGGAGCAGAGCTGGGGCTGCTGTGCACAGCGAGGGAGCTGCTGCTGCTGCAGCCCCTGCCCTGCCCTGGCCAGCCCCTGGCGCTCGGGGCTGCTCGGGAATGCTCTGTGATCAGGAGCTGTGTCCTGCCAGGGCATCTGCTCCCCGGGAAATGCCTGACATCTGGGCCTGTGCACTGAGGGAACAGCTGCTGCTCCTGCCTGGGCCCCTCTCAGACACCAGCTGGAACATCTGGACTGGACATTGGAGCGGTGTGGATGCCGTGGGACACAGAGAGAGAAATGGCGAGAGTTTCTCACAGCGGCTTGTGAGAATTTTTAAGAGAGTTGTAAGGATGTGATAACTTTTTAAGTATAAACAATCTACAAGTAGTGCTTTTCTACATGGTCTTTCTGTTCTTCTCAAAGACAGTGTGTGAAGAAGATGCTTTTCTCAATTAGCCAATCAAATAAAATCTGTCATATCACTATAAAAACCACGCAATTCTCTTGAGTAAAACCTTCTTTACTCTTTCTACAATACTACCTCTTTCCTATTCCTGCGTTATTCTCAACACAAAAATGACAGAGCAGGGGCTCTGCACCATCTCTGCAGCAAGGAAGGACACCTGCATTTCCTGTCAGCTGAGAGGAGGCCAAGAGTCAATTCTCCAAGCAGAATCTGCCTGTAAGTGTGAAACTGCCCTGAGAAGAGGCAGTGTTTCCCAGAATTTTTAGCGTGTTGCCTAAATGTCTTTCATCTAGGACATCTAGGAGCACAGATAAGAAATTTTTACAACTTCTTGGGTGGCTATGCCTTTTGGCAAAATCTTATTTTTTCTTTGCTCATCTAAACATGCAGAATTCTTAATCTGGTGAGTGACAGGTTAATTTGGTGAGTTAACAGGTTAGTGGCTGGGACAACAGTGAATTTAGCCATAAAACTAGAGAGGAAGAGAACTAGAGAATAAATCACAGAGAACAGTAAATACAAGTGTGTGAGGTGTGCTCACTGTGATTAGCTGTAGTCATATACAGTCCTGTAATTATTTGAAAATTGTCCAGAAATAAGTTCTCATGAGACCAAAATGAATGCAAAAAATGCTGTTGTGATCTTTTATTGAATCAATGAAATTTAGATTAGGCAGTCACTAAATTCCTGTTTACACAACAGACCTTAATGGCTCCAAAGGAAGCGCTCAAATGTAGTCGACAAATAATCCCTATTTATGAAAGCCCCATAATATGCATTTACATAATCCCCACTTTAAAAAGCTATATCAGCTCTAAAGTTCTTCAGCTCAGAGATATGCCCCAGGGGATTAAAAGTAATAAACAAAACAAAGGGAAAAAGATGTACACACACATCCAGCAGCATGCAGCACAGCCTCCAGGATTAGCACACGCAGGAGGAGGCAGGGATAACCCACCAGCTCTGCTCACCCCACTCCACCTCCAGCAGGGCTTGTGCATGTGCACAGAGATGAATACATGCACATGCCCGTCTCCACAAGTGGCTCTGCATGACCTGGAGCACGTGTGTGGTGCTGCAGTGTCTCTCTGCATTATGCCTCTCCTGGCTTTCCTGCCTTCCTGCACAAATACGAAATTGGTTCATCCTGTGTGCCCAGGAAGGGCCATAATGAAACAAAGAGTCTTACTCGTGTTTTGAGGGGTATGTAGCAGCTTTAGAAAGCAGCTGATAGGACACAGGACTGTGGGTTGTGCACTTTATTTGTGCTCAAGATGACTGGGCAGTTGCTGATATTCCCATGTGACGGATGTGGCATTTTGCTGTCGAGGTGCTGTCCTTGAGATAAGAGCTATGACAGGGCAGGGACCTGCACCAAGAATGTTAATGTTGCTGAAGGGTTTGGATTTAAAAAAAGCTGTTCTTTACTGTGGAGAACAAGCTGCTTCTGAAAAGCTGATTATTCAGAAGTGTGAATTTTGGAGACTGATTTCTTACCTTCTGAAATGTTACCTTGTCTTTGCAACTACCCATTGCTTAGGAACAAAATGTTATGAGTCTTGGCTGGTGGAGCCTGAGTTTTGTAATTCTGGTAGTTGGGTCAAATCTATATTGGATTCAGTAAAAGTAAGAAAGGGAAAACAGAATTAATTTCCAGCTTTATAGAAATACGTTTGCTGCCTGTACATTCTGAGTTCTCTGAGTGTCTTTTGCTTCAAACTCTTTGATTAGCATTTATAATATAAATGAGAGCACAGAAGCACAGGAATGTTGGTATTTACCCTCAATGAATGCCAGCATTCAAGTGCTGTGGAGTTTTGTGTGCACAAAACATCCTTG